TTTTTCAGAAAAATTCAAAAATCCAACAATATTTTTGTTTTACTTTTGAGTATATTCTATTTTTATTTTTATTTCTTAAGTTTTTCTATTGTGTGTTTAGTTTTCTTTTAGTTTTGTTTTTATCTCAAAATTTTGTTTGTCTTGAAAAGCGAATTCATAAATCAGAGAACTCAAAGGAAGAAGATACTATAGGAGACTGTATTTTCACATAGATACTGTGAATAGTCACTTTCTGGGCCAGGGTTTCATCCTTGAAAAACTGTGGTGAGAAGGTTCTTTATGATTCTATGATCCACATGGACTTTTTAGTTATTTGTTACTTTTCAAGGCGTAACAGTGATCATTGAAGAATTTTCATTCGAAGGAACAAGAAGTGAAGATTATTTTTCAACATTCTATCTTTCAACCCCAGAAGCAAGGTAAAGTTGTTTTTAGAGATTATGTGACGAATTGCATTGAATCCTCCTCAATCAATTTTTTGTTATCTATGAACCTGTTGATGTGATCCAGAAGAATTGGTCTATCTGTTGCTTTCTCAAAAGATTCTCAAAATTGAAGGTTCTATTTTTCAAGAATCCCTATTAGAAGCCTCGACATCCAACGTGTGTTCAAAGTCAAATCTTTAAATAAAAGCACAACTGTTCAAGATAAAGTTATTCATATTGAACATTTATATGTTCATCTTGAAGTCGTGAAAAAATTGAATATTAACGTAGAACCCAAGCTCAAAGCAAAGATTAAAAAGAAAAGCAAGCTACAAACTCAGGGGGAGTTTGTTAGGTCATAAGAAAAGAAAGCTATAAACCAAGGAAGAGATTGTTGAGTCTAACTTTATGGTTTATACTTTTCTTTTCTAGGTATTTGTAGTTTGTAGTCTAGGGCCGAAAACAGCCTTGGTTTTTGTTGTAGCTTGGACCGAAATCATATGTGATTTCGGTCAAGCCATTGGGTTTTCAGTCCATATATATATATATATATATATATATATATATATATATATATATATATATATATATATATATATATATATATATATATATATATATATATATTATATATATATATATATATATATATATAGTCAAGGGTGATTTGTTCAAGGAAGGGGTTGTCATATGCAAGGGATGTGTTCTAGAGAAAGAGAAAGTAGAGAGAACGTGTGTTTGTATGTGTGTGTGAATCTTGTGTATTGGATCATATTGAATATTATTGTATACGTTGAATATTCATCTAGTTCTTCTTCTTCTTCTTCTCCATTTGATCTTGCATCATCCCCTTGGTTGAGATTTCGCACCATCAAGTAGATCTGATTGATACATCAAAGCGATTTAGGGACTTACAATTGGTATCAAACCTATCAAGCAATTCAATATTGTTTATCAGCACACACCTACATGTTTAGATCTGGTCAATCACCAGTATTGTGGTCCACGGAAACACGAAGGATATTGACAAGTTGGACTGATTAAAAGTTACAAGACATTGCACCTTTATTCCTAAATAGATCATTTAGTTGACGACGACCAAGAGTGCTGTTGTCCACTTAAATTTAGCAGCGAGATCTATAGATAACCTTTTAAATGGTTCATCTTTAGGTGCACTAGAATGTGTACCCCACTTCCCGACATACCCCTTAATCAAGAACTTCCAAAGAACTCCTTACTTTAGGTGAGTATTTAATCATTACAAGAGAAGATAGATATAGAAATACATATGTTGTATCCCAGGTCGGATGTCTTCCAGTCATGCAGAGGGTACAACATATGACTAACATAGATAGAGGGTTAGAGAGATAGTAGGGTGCATATGTTATGTCCCAGGTCGGATCTTCCGATTATGCAGAAGGGGCATCATATAGCTAACAGATAGAAAGAATTG